GGTGTTCCCATCAGATTCGGGCAATGCTCCGAAGACATCGATGGTCAAAAACTGAACGGCTTTTGTCGTCCTCGGCGCGCAGCGGCCAGGTTTCTGATCCATATAGTAATATGGAGCGCACCGCAACAGTGTAAACTCGACCCTTGACAGAGAAACTGATGTCACGCCTACGCCACAGGTGACGTAGGTTCACAAAGGTGCTCTGGCCTTCCCAATCCGGATGGAAATATCATCTTTCACGAGACCACCGGGACTGATACAGCTGCCCAGGTAAATAAATTTGTCTACTACCTCAATCGGTTCATCCGCAAGCATGAGGTTAGGGTTCGGGCCCACCCAGTTTTGCAGTGTCACTTTACACTTTGCAGGTGTGAAGCGCATGCCGAACCGCGAGGCAGAATTATTTAGATTTAATATTGTTTACACTACCACGGAGGTATAGGCACCTCGGAATGATTGTGATAAGCTAGCACTTAGTCCCTTCTCCGTCTAGCTTTACTCTTTTATTTACAATAAGGCTCTCGAGAAAATCATGGTTGTACGGCATCGGTGTTGAACACTGATGCCATGCTGTCGATGATGATGGTGGTGGTGGACATGAGTGTCTTGGGCAGATTCTCTTCTGATGGTAAGGATGTCCTCCATCGCTCTTTTTCTTCAACTTGGTAACCGATAGGCTGCTTAAATCACTTTTACCTAACTCTAACAGATTGAGAAGTGAAACACTACCGGAACGTTCGCCTAAGGTTATTGAGTAAGCCAAAGATGTTCCTCTTCTTGGATCAGACCTCATACTGGCAAGTGAACCGATAGATGTAGTAGATAGGTTCGTTTACCTGAGCGTCTGCATAAGTCCCGGCGGTCTGACAAATGGCGAAATTACTTACCGAGTTGGGAAGGCCAGGGCAGCGTCTGTAAGCCTCCCACATTTGTGGTGTCGACGTGACATCAGTTTGACTGTGAACCGTACTGTTTATGACACGGCGGTTCAATCCATTCTATTTTATCGAGCACAGTCGTGTGGAAGACCTCCGAAGGCTCTCGTGTTGGACCAAAACTGCTTCCGAAGCATTGCGAGTCTGGTGAGAACACTGACTCAATAACGGTTAAGAACGGTAGATGGTTTTTCGCAGAAGGTAATCTCTCCCTAGATAGGTCAGCTGGTCACACCCCACAGGTTACGCTGGTTAGGCCATGTGCTTCGTATGCCAGAAGGCAGTTTGTCCCACAGAGTCCTCTGCAGTTCAAATGGATTCAAATTATCAGCTGTAGACCACGTACCAGGGATGCGTTGGTTTCAGCTGCTACAGTTTCCATAACCAGAAAGTGGGAGACATACAGCCAAATATTGGAGGCGATGGCACGTTCAATTAATTCGGGAACTAGGTAGCGTCGCACTGAAGGCAATAACTTTGATGCACAGATGCCACTGACTGCGCGATTGGGTCAATGGTGGGTTAAGTCGCAGGTTCTTTATACGGGGGGGGGGGGGGCAGTTGTTGACCCGACTAAGTTTACTGGTTACTGGGTCCATACTTTGCCTCCGTTTCATACACTGTCCACCTCTCGGTGGCTTCCATCCAGCACAGGGCTGGGCAAAGAGCTCTCAGACAGACAGTCCTCTGGAATGCGGACATGTCCTTACCAGCGCAACCTATGAAGCGTCAGTAATTGATCTATTGCAGGAGAGAGATTGCAGGGGCGAGATGGCCCAAGTGGTTAGAGCGCGAATTTACTGACTGGAAGGTCCGTGGTTCGAACCCGACCTCCGCCTCTCGACTTCCCCTGTTTAGGCTTGGAAAACCTGGCAGTATCCCAGCCCTCGTGCTTCCTTTGAGTAGCATGGCAGTTAGGCACCGGAAGGGTGCTACAGCTGAACGAT